AGTTCATCTAGCTATCTCTTTTAATATTTAAGTTGAGATTTGAATTCCCTATATTTAACTTCAGAAACTTTAAAATGTTAATCAATGAAATGTTTGTTTGAAGGTATATATACATTTTGTTGATAAACATTTAGTATTACTATATTTTTGGAAACCTGTAAGTCATATTTAAGTATCAGAGGACTAATTGAGAGAGATATTTTAAATGCATATCTATATTAATATGAGCATTTTAATAATTTTTAAATATTAAATATTATATAAATAATTTGTATATTAATCCTTTATTGAATATATTTTATTAATCCAAACAGATTTTCAAAAGCCATTTTGTAATAACAATAGCAAAGTGTAATATTTTAACTTTCAGCTAATTCTTAAACGAGTATTCAAGAGCTCATAGTTATGGAAAGATTCTATTCCATATTTTAGGACATTTTATATTACTTCTCAAAATAAAATTTAATAATTATTGTCATAAAAAGCAGTTTTATGTAATGGCTCAGATAATTTTATGTTGTCATGTCTCCATGGAGAAGTCCTTGAGAGCAAAATCTTAGAGAAATAACGTTTAATCCCTTTTTCCTGCTTCCAAATGTTTATTACTTCTAATTATATGACTAATTAATTCTAATTACACTAATGCTTTCATACAAAGAAAAAAAACTTTAGCAATTGCAGTGAGAAGATAAAGTATATTTAATAGATTTAGTTGACAGTTTCATCTTATTGTATACACAAATAACTAATTGAAATGACAAATTAATTTTATAAATAATCTTTACTACTTATGAAAAAGAGATGTATCATATTTTCTAGGTTTCTATACCTATTGCTGCTTTAAATAAATTTGGAAACAATGGTTGTATTTAGTTGTATAAATATATAAATTTTTAAATAATAAAAATGTTAGAATTTTGTTAGTATAAATAATATACTCAACACATTATTGGTTTGAAAGCTTCAAATAACTTTTATAAGATGTTTATACTGAACTTATCTCAACAAAGGAAGAGTTATAACATAAAACAACTTTAAATGATAAAAAATTTTATTCTCTAATGCATCATTTTCCCAGGAGTAATATATAATAGTCATCAAATAGTTTCTTAAATTTCTGTTTTCAATAAAATATATTTGAAAAATAGTTGCTCGTACTGCTATGGTTTCTCAGAAGTGCAGATACATTTTGGACATGCTCTTCTACATCATACGGTAAAGAATAGAAATGGAACATTTCCTACAGGTGATCCCATTCTGAAATGGAACATTCCCTATAGGTTGCCCATTTTCTTTTCTGTACAAAAGGAAAAATGTTTACATACTTGTAAAACCAGGTGCTGCTGGGCAAGTAGGAAACTAATTCCTATTCCATAAACTCGTATTTTTCCAATTGTAAGAGAGAAGAGGTTTAAACATGTTTATAAAAAGGTATTATGGTTTTATGAAATGAAAATAATCACACATTGATTGTGGTATCCACCAACATTGATAAAAATACAAATATATGGAACTCTTTACTTGCATTTCTAACGGGTCTATTGAGTGTCTGGTACAATGGTGAGGGCTGGTACATATTAATGAACAAAATAAACATTGTCCTTTGTTCTCATAAACTTATTAAGAAGAAGGTAGAAAACAATCATACAAATACTTATAAATCTACAAACTGTGAAAAGTGCTATTAAGTCACAAATTTAGACTGTTAGGAGTGGCAAGATGGGGCTAGGTTAGAATGAAAATTTGGGAAGTACCTCTCAAGATTTAGCGTTTAAACTAGTACCTGAGCAATTATAATACATTAGCAGATCAAGAATGAGGTGATAAACACATTCTATGAGGGAAATTGAAAAAAGCAAAGAGGAATGAAAGAGTTGAGAATGTGGTGTGCCTTGAAGTAATTAATAACAGAGGCTGAGGTGTAGTAAACACAGAGAAGAGTCCCATGAAGTGAGGTGGGCCAGGTAGACAGAGCTAGTTCTTGAATTTTACCTTAAATGCAAAAGTTTTTATTTATTATTTTTCTTAGTAATCATACAAAAAGTACTGTAGGGCTTTTCCTTAAGGAAATCACAGCATACTGGAGAAGATGAACAGTCAGTAGGCAAGTTCAATACTACTCAGTAAGTGCATGCGATTGTTTGCATTGTAAAGAACACAGGTGGAAACACCTTCATGTTTTGATTCCTAAGCCAATCTTAAATGACCAGAACCAAAGAATTGCAAAATAGAGAAAATAAATGAGCACTTTGGATCACAGCCATTGGACCTACCTATGTACACTCATTTCCCAGGTGATCACATCCTGTGACTCAAAATATTAGTCTGACTTCACCACTCAGAAATCTAAGGCATCCTGGATTAAAATGTCAAAACCCAAACCGCTAGTCTTTCTTCAAAGAACTTATTTTCAATCTTGACTGCCCCCAAACAAAACAAAACAAAACAAAAAAACAAGACAAAAAACAAAAAAATAAAGTTATCTCCTCTTTCTAGCAGATCAGGCATATTTATCAGCCAACCCTTCACCTCTACCTTCAATTCGTATTTAGAATATCTCTACCACGTACCATCTTCACAAGTCCTACCCTAGAAGGGGCTGCCATCGTGCCTCCCTGGGCTACTAGAAAAGCCTTTTAATCACTCTCCCCTCTTCTAGCTTGCTTCCCTACAGTCCCTTCTCATGACAGAAGACAGATCTCTTAAAAATGTAAGTTAGACCATTTCTCTATTCAGAACCCTGGAATGGCTTTCCATCTCAGAGTTAGACCTGAAGATTTCACAAGAGCCTCTAGGATCTGAAATGATATAACTATTCCTTCAAGTCCTACTCCACCTTCTGATCATGTCACATTGGATTTTCTGTCCTGAAATGATATAACTATTCCTTCAAGTCCTACTCCACCTTCTGATCATGTCACATTGGATTTTCTGTCCTTCCTCCAGCACACCGAGCAGGACTTGAGGGTGATTGTACTTGCTGGGCCCTCAGATATATTCCCCCTAGCTATTTCCCTCATTACCTCCGCTTAAATGCTGCTTGTCCACATACTGCCTCCCAGTGTACTTTTATGAAAATTTGGAACACAAATGATAAATCAGACCTGAGATCAATTCCATGGAAATGTAGAGAATGATGGTATTCATTACCATGTGAAAATGCTGATTCTGTAGGCCAACATGTCCTTCCCTTGCCTTTATCACTGGCAAACTGACAGACTTTCCTGCACTAAATGTTCGTTAGTTTCCTCTGAGCCCTCTTCTAGGCCTTGGCCTACGGCTTCAGTGCCCATCCTTGCACAGTCCAGTTTTGGTAAGAATCCTGCAAAGTCAGCTTAAAGAAGAACCTCCTACTCTTGATATCTAATCAAATTCCTCATCCCCCAGCCTTGACATCTGATCATCTTGACCTGCCTTTCAATAAGAATATTGTTAAAGTGTATAGCAAGAATTCTGCCTAATCTTGATGTATCCTCTAGTAATTTTTCACCCACCAACCTCAAGCTACCCCCAACATACAACCTGTTTCTTGGCTATAATCCCCAGATGTCTTTATTGTATTTAGAGTTGAAATGAATCTGTCTCCCCTATTGTGACAGTCTTGACACCCATCACAATAGTCCCAAATAAAGTCTTCCTTACTGTTTTAA